TTGGGGTGGGAGCAAGCTGCCTTTCCTCTAACAGGGAAGAGTGCTTGCTTTCCATGGATAAGGGTGGCCTGTGTTGCATGGAGTCAGCCTGGAAGTCATTTAAAATGGATCCCTCCCACTAAGAGGATGTACTGCCAGGTAAAGTGGGTTAGGTATAGTGAGTTCTCTGGAAGGTCATTATGGTTATAGAATTGAAAGGTGATTATAAGTGACAAGCTGGAGAAGAGACTGTTGTGATCTGAATGTTTGTGTCTCTCCAAAATTCATACTGGAAACCTAACGCCAAAATGATGGTAATAGAAGGTAGTAGAAGGTAGGGCCTTTTGGAAGTGATTAGGTGATCACTAAGACGGAGCCCTCATAAATAGGATTAATGTCTTTATAAAGGAGGCCCCAGACAACTGGCTCATCCTTTCCACCATATGAAGGTACAACCGGAAGTTTCCCACATGGAAGAGGCCCCTCACCTGACTATGTTCCTAGCTTCCAGAACCATGAGAATTGAACTTTGTTGTTTATAAGCCACCCAGTCTGTGATATTGTTACAGCAGCCTGAACTGACTGAAACAGAGTTGTTACGCACATCAAAGGAACTACAGCCTGACAGTCCTAGCAGGGCCTTACCCAAGGAGTACATAGAAGTGCATTTTGTATTTGAATTGTTGGAGTCATTTTACTCTGTTCATTTGTTATTCATTCATCACTTCAGTTATTCATTCAGTTTCAGTTTATTTATGTAGTTATTTCTGGTGATCTTATTTATTATTCTTACATATAAGATTGTTCTTATATATTTCAATCGCAAATGCATTTGCAATTTACACAAGTGGAATCTACTGAGATATAATATGTGAAGTAGGAATCTAACTTATTTCCTTATGTAATCTGCCAGTTATCATAATACTAAATATGACATAATTGGTCATTTTCCAACTGATTTGAAACATTGTTCTTACTGTATACAAATGAGTATGCCAAGTGTCTGTCTCTAGACTTCCATTTAGACTCCCTACTTCTTCTCCCCATCTATTAATATCACTGGGATGGTGTTCAATTTACATATTCATTTGGAGAAATATTGATAGAAGTATAACACCAGGTCATTCCCTTCTAGGATTTGTTATCTCATTTTTTTCAAGTCTTCTTTTAAGACCTTTACTAAACAGTTTTAGTTTTCTTAAAATAGTCTAGACATTTTCAACATAATTTCCTAGATGTTTGCCAGTTTTGCTCATATTTATTAATAACAATTTCTCCAACATATCTTCTTATTGTTAATTATTGACTTTACCATATGAATTTAAATTTATTTATTTTTTTATTTATGGAAGCCACCCACCTCCTCCAGGGACCAGGCTCTTACACCCACCCACCGACCCACCCACATACACACAGTGTGCCAGTTACATGCCTAACTAGCCCCAGGTTACAGAAACCCCCGAGTATCCTAAATTGCCCTACCCCCCACTGTCTTCTCTGGTGTGCAGTCCTGAGCTAAGATACCCCCATTTCCCTTTCCTACTGTGTCCCCTTGGTTCCTTTTCTCCTGCTTCTCTCTTATTCCTCTTGTCCTCATTTTGCCTGCCATTGACAACAGCTTCCAATGGTCTGTCTGGAGTGTTCATGCAACCACGAATTGTCGTGTGTGGATGCATTTGAAATGTTGGCAAACAGGACTTGTCTACATGCAAGTAGGTCTTTATTGTTTTTTATTGGATATTTATTATTTCTAATAAATTTTTGATTATTTAAATATGTAAATTGGAAGAAAGTAGACCAAAACTCTGTCCTTCCTGCTTAGCTCCCTCTAACATCAATGGTGGCCCCAAGAAGAGCCCATGTAGAGGTCCTCTTTGTTCTTCACAGATCACAGCTTGAAGACCTGGGAGGTGAACAATCAGATCATCTAAAAATAATGGGTGGTTTACCTCTTATTATATCACTTCTTCTTATTCTGTCACACGGTAGTCATTCAATGAATATTTATTGGCTTAAAGAGTGAAAAATAAAATTATGTTGTCTAGGACTTCCAGAGGTTATTAAAAACAGTGGATAAACACATCTTTATCTTTTTTCTGACTTTAGAGTGAAAGTTTATAGTGTCTCAACATGAAATATAGTAGTCTCTTTGTTTGAAGTAGGTATTTTTTATTGCATTCTGGAATCACCTATTTTTATTCTATGAAAATTTGTACTAGGAAGGGATACTGAATTTAATAAATGCCTTAGTGTCACCTATCAAGATAATTGTACGTTTTCTTCTAGGATTTTTCAATGTTATGAATTGCTTTATTATTGAGCTAGCTATCCTCATAATCCCTGAAATGACTACTTGATCATGGTATCTTGTTATTTGAATATACTGTTTGGTCTACAATGTTAATTCCTTACATATTTGTTTTGCTAAGTAATACTGCCTTACAATTTTTCTTTTATTAAATGCTTGTTTGTCAAATTATGTTCAGCGGTTGCCAAGTCTGGTTGCCACTCATCAAAATCACCTCTAGTGACTTATTAAAACACAGATGTAGACATTTGTTCTTCTCTATTTCCTAAGTTTCTGTTTTTATTTTTAATAATTCAATATTTTTGCTTTCCTTTTACTCCTTACTGCATGTGTAGCTTAGTTTACTAGCTTCAATCTTTCTTCCTCAGTAAAATAAGACTATATATTTTCCTCAGTACACAGCTAGTTGGACCCTATGGTGTTCTCATCGTTTCTAAATATGATCTAAAAGTAATTTCATTTCTCTTTTGATTCAAGAGTCTCTTAGGAAAGAGCTTTGAAACCTTCCAGAGATTTTTTTAAAAGGTGAATGGGTGACGGGCACTGAGGGGGGCACTTGACAGGATGAGCACTGGGCAAATTGAAAACCAATAAAAAAAATAAATTTATTATTAAAAAAAATATTTCTAACTTTATTATTTATTTTTAGCTTTATTTCACTGTGATCCAATAATGTGACCTATGTAGATTTCACTTTTTGGAATCTAATGAGATTTTCTTCATGGCATAACATATACTCAATTTTTGTGAAATTTCACTATTTAAAAAGAAGTATACTTGTAATATGTTTAAGGCTCATAATTCAATATATAAATATTAAATGAAAATAATTACATTGTTAGTGTCCTTTATGTTTTATGTTAGTGTCCTTCCCTTCCCCCTCCCCTTCCTTCTTCCTTCTTGCCCTCTCTCCTTCCTTCTCTTCCTTGCTCCTCACCTCCCTCCTTCGTTGCCCTCCTTCCTTCCTTCCTTCTCTCCTTTCTTCCCTCATTTCTTCCTTTCTCCCTCTGTCTCTCCCTCCCTCCTTCCCTTCTTTCCTTCTTTGTTTTTCAAGGACTGAGAGGTACTTTGTGGTCTCCTATCACTATTTTATTTGTCTTGCTTTTGTTTCTAATCAGCCTGTGGAATGTTAAATTGACCCACATGATTTTCAAAGTCTCTCATAATTCATTGTCCTAATTTCCAGGTATACAGAAAAATAAACAGCCATCTATGTCGGTGCTGTGCTACTTGATGCATGGAGGCTATTGGAATTGAATCTGTCTTCATATGGACTCTCCACATAATTTTTATGAGTCTCTTATGTTTATTAATGACTAATAACTTTAAGCTAATCTGCTTTCCTGTTTGTTGGCATTTGCACCACACATTTAGGTTGTCTGTTTATTTTTTAAAGTTTCAGCTTGTTCTTTACACTTTGGCTTGATATGAAAAAAGAAGAAGCAATTATGCATTTTACTTTGCCTCAGAGGCTGCTGCATTACATTTTTCATTGTCAAACCAACATAATCAGATAAACACCTTCCATATACAGAAAAATTAAATCGTCCTTTCAAATAAAGAAATTCAAAGATCAATGTGGAGCTATCTTGCATAATGGAGATATTACTGATTATTGTTTGATGTTAATACTCAGACATCATGAACAATTCTCAATCCCGGTGCTGGAAATTTAAAACTCCATGTAATTTTAGAATCTGTAAACAGTTATTCAAGTGACTTTTCAGCTAAAAATCTGGAGGCAAGCCACCTTAAAAAAGAGTATGTTGAGCAGCAGTCTCTTCAACTTTTGATAAGCCATTCAGTCCAGCGTTCACTAGTTCACAGTGTAATATCACACACAACAATACTCAAAAATCTCTAATCCTTCATGGTGCATTAAGAAAGTTATTAGGAAAAACTGGGCTGTAATTACCAAAGATATAACATATAGCACACTGTTTAAAGGAGACAGCCCGGATCAAGTAGAATTCTAATAAAAAAGCCCCCATGAACACAGAAGATAAGAATGAAAAGTGTCAGGCATTTTAAATGCTTGATTATGACTCCAAATTGCCATTTCACTCTGCCTCGTATTTAAGATATCAAAAAATGTGCCATCCCCCAATCATCCTATGGAAGGTTAAATTGACCACAACACAGTCAAAGCCTCCCTTAATTCTGTATGCCACTATCGTTTAGTTGTACATGAAAATAAATAGTAGCACCTCATTTCACATGTTATAAGCAGCATTTGCAATCCTGTACATATGTGTCTGGAAATGTTTCGTTACTTACAGCTCAGCTGTATTTTGGGCTCAGTTCTGACATTTGCAGGTGCAGATTGGGCACCCAGGCTTACTCTTGGGCTCTTTATTTGTTGTTCTTTTTACTGAATTAACTTCCCTGTTGGGCACTGAGTACATTTTGGTGGTGGTTGCAGCAGGGAGGCAAGAACCAGGTGTCTGGCTGGAACATATCTTTCTACTTTTCATCCTTTGGAATAACTTAAATTTACTTGAATTTGTTTTTGATTACAGCATATAGTTGAGTTTGGTTTTTTGGCCAAATCTCAGTTCTTTTATTTCAGTGGGCAAATATGTTCTTCTCAAATATTTTTGTCCAAGATACCATGTGTGGTCTTCTATCCTTTTACTATGCTTTAAATAATTCCTCTTGATTTATTTTGTATTTAATTTCCTATTTTATGATTTCTGTATGCTTTTCCCTCCAGAACATTGGAAACTATTTTTAAAAGCTCCAGGAAACTACTCTTAAGTGACTAAATGTACCTAAAACTTTTACTTTGGGTTCCTCAAGAAGCATTTTTGGTTGCTAAATTGGTAAGCCTCTATATTCCCAAATTTTCATTGACAATCCACTGCACTGTTACACATTTTCGTAAGACTAGTCTATGCTTTCAAAGGTTAGTTGCATTTCTTGAAATAAGTGGCAATCAGAATTATGCCACTAATCCTTGCATGCTATGCTAAGGTTACTGCTTATATTGCAGAATACATTCAAGTGTATCCTGCTTATTTCTTTATTTCTTGATTGCTCCTATCCACCTTTGTTATCAGTTTTTCCGTTTGCCTAAAATTAAGTGTGGGTGGCTTCTATTTTCTTCTCTCACTGTTTCCTTGAAAACTGTTAAAATCGTCTTCCTAGAGCTTGAGCCAGAGACTAAGAGAAGCAGATAAACACTAAAAGCCTAGCCATTCAGAAGGTTGAGTAAGTGGAGAAAGAACTTACGCTGCAGAAAGTCCAGACTAGGATTTTTATCTCTGCCTGGCTTCTCTGAGTTCATTGAGTCTGCAGAATCAGGAACTTCTATTCCATATCTGGCTTCCATAGGAAGAAAATCATTAGCCTGTATCATGTTGCTTCCCTTTAGCTTCTGCTGCTGTGTCTGGGGAGTGTTCTGTCTCAAGGAGTTGGGAATCATCATCCTCAGGAAATGTGTTTTCTGTCTCGTTCATTAACAATCCTGGTGTTGGTGTCACCGGTACCAGAGAAAATGCCTCCAAAGCTTACTGACTCCATGTCTCTTATGACTGAGAGTAGTGTTCCAGTCTCTGCCCCACCCCAAATGGGGTATCATAGGTGACCCAGTTCTGCTAAGTCAAGTAGAAGTTTCCTTCTGTATTCTGCTTAAATTTGTAGCCCCCCTACCTCAAAATGAAGATAAGATGCCTTTCTTTTTTTTTTTAAGATTTTATTTATTTATTCATTAGAGACACAGAGAGAGAGATAGAGACACAGGCAGAGAGAGAAGCAGACTCCATGCAGGGAGCCCGATGGGGGACTCAATCCTAGGACTCCAGGATCATGCCCTGGGCCAAAGATGCCCAACTGCTGAGACACCCAGGAATCCCTACTTTATTTTTTAAAATTATTTTTACTTTGGTCTGTTATCTTTCAAAGAAATTTGCACAGAAATATACATATGTATGCATACTTAATAGCCTTTAAAAAAGATTTTATTTATTTATTTGACAGATTGAGAGACAGCAAGCATCCCATAAGATGCCTTTCTTAACAAAACTGAGCAACCACTTATAAAGTCTGTAGCTTTAGCTAAATGTTAACTGAATGTATGGATTTAAAAAGTTAACTTTGTTCAACTTGTTCTTTGTTACATGGATCTGAATAATTACATGTTTTTAATGCTCTTCTCTCAATTGGTTATCTAAGAGGGGCATGTGGCTCATTTTTCATTACTGGTAAAACTTTTTAGTAGATATACCTTGGATTCTTAGACTGGCCTGAAACTGACCTGGTAAACCATTCATGTATCATTGTGAACAGGAAACTGCTATCAAGAAGCTAGCTAGAAAAAAAAAAAAAAAAGAAGCTAGCTAGACTGGGAATTAGTATGGTTACTAAACTACTGGGGCACATCACTTAGTTACTATGATCCTCAGTTTCCTCTCTAGAAATGAAATAACATCACTTGTGCTGCCGCCTAGTGCAGAGGACTTTTGTGAGGAATAAATGAGATGATGTATAAGAAAACACTGTCAGGAATAGCAAGACACTTTATAGGAGTAAGCTTGTACCACTCTTTCTCCCTGAGGTGAGGAGGAGCAGAAATTTCAGAGAAAAATGTTTCAGCTAAAAGGGAAAAAAATGAACAGTCTGTTCCACCTTGCCCATTCATTCATCATTCACTTATGCATTCAACACAATGGACAACAAGACCAATTCAATCCCTCCCTTCATGGAACTTATGTTTTTAGTAGCAGCAATGGGCAATGTACAAATACAAAAGCAAGATCAGTGATGGACATCATTAAGAAAAGTCGGAGAAAGAGCAAAATCTAAACAAAAAGTTGTTCAATGGATATGCAATTTCAATGATGCAAGATGAGTAAATTCTAGAGATCTGATCTACAACATAGTGCTTATAATTAACAATACTACATTATGCACTTTAAAATTTTGTTGAAAGGGTAGACCTCATGTTAAGTGTTCTTACCACAAAAGGTGGAGACACAGAAATTTTCCAAGGTGATGGATGTATTTATTACCTTTATTTCCAAGGTGATGATTTCAAAGAGTATATGTATGTCTAAACCCATCAAATTGTACACGTTAAGTACAGTTTTTAAAAATATCAATTATACTTCACTAAAACTGTTTTTTAAAAAAGACAAGTCTTTTTTAAAAAAGACTAAAACTGTTTTAAAAAAAGACAAGGAAAGATCCAGAAAAGGACCAGATATAAGAGGCACAATAGTTGCTATTTTAGATAATGTGGTCTAAGGAAAGATTCATTTTTATTTATTCTGGAGAATTAAAATCTGTAATTAATATACTGCCTGGCAAGAGCATAATGTTTGAAATGTCCAAAAAGACCTTCATATACATTTTTTATTTTGCATTTTATAACAGCTTTTTGAGGTACACAGTCTAGAATACGATCTAGTTTTGAGAAGTTGCCACAAGGAATCTGAGACCCAACTGGACAAAATTTCAAAATGGTGAGCATACATACCCATTTCATGTCTGGTGCTGGCCACACCTAAGCCATACTCTTCTAAAACATCCTTTACTGTCCTCATAGATTCATCATAACTGGCGGCCAAGCCAAGGAAGTTATATGAACCCATGTTGATGACATCTTTGATGATTCTTCCAGTAAACCTGTAGAGAGAAGAATACAAAGGGCTTTCTCAATTAACATCACCCTAGTGCCCCATAAAATACTCTTACAAGGAGATCTTGGGTCTGGCCCAAATCATATATTTTCTTTTTCCTTTCTGATGTGCATTGCTGTCAACACAAAATGGCCTGCGTCCCTGGAGGACACTAATCATGGAATGAAGCTGGACAGAGCACTGGAAAAAGGTCTCCCAAGCCAAGGAGTATTACTTAGCCCTGGCTTTCCATGGGCATTTGGTTCTGTGACACCTGTGCTCTTGTTTAAATTCCAGCAAGGACTTTCTAGGTGAGAGAGAGCCATGGTCATCACTGTCTCCTTCAGCGAGAAGTAGAGGGGCATAATCTGTCAATAAAGCTGAAAAGACCCTTCCTGGCTGGCTTCATGTATACTGCACCTTCTGACACAGGCTTTACTTTTACTAATATAACATAGCCACCTTTGGCAATGGAATTACCGTGACCTCTGCCACTGGACTTATGAGGGCTTGCAAAGGGCTCAATGATGGAAGACTAGCAACTGTTTGGTTCATCAACTCTGTAACTTGGTGCCCATGCCAGGATTTCCTGGAAAGCATTTCTTTCAACCAAGCCCCTCCAGAAGGTTTCCTCACCTAAATGTCCAGTTGTAGTCATCTGACACCCTCTCCATCACATCAAACCGAGATCCCGGGGCACTGCAGATGGGCCGGTTCCAGTTGTCTCTGATTCTTATGTACAGGTTCCGTGTGTAAAAATTCTCAAAGTTTTGATAAAGCGGCACAAAATCCTGTTACAACAGAGGGAGCAGTTTACCTTTGATCTCCTGCTTTTTGTATTGTATTTGCAATTGAAGGCTGGAAGAGCCATGCAAATAGTCCACTTGCAAATAGTTTTTGAGAAAGGGCCCATAGGTAAAGAAATAGGTGGGTTCCCAGATAACGCTGTGGCCTCCATCTCTAAAGAACTTATATTTTAGTGGGAGGAAGTAAAAAATGTGGCACAGAAAGGTAGCAAAGACGATAGTGCAATACAAGATTAAGTCTCCAAATGAGCGGTAGACACAAGAATCCTGCGGGATTCCATCTGAAAAGTAACAATAAGTGTTTATGTCAAAGAAGGTTAGCTGGAAAAAAAGTTCTTGAATAATAATTTGGTCTTAACTTTTTTTTAACATGAATATCCCCACTCAGGTTTTCAGAAATGTGGATGAACTTGATATGGGACCTTTTGGCAAAACTCTTGGCAGTTGGCTGGCTGTCATATCGCCAAGGGCCTAGAAACTCAGTTGATGAGCTTGTGGAGACACCTGGCTTCACCCACAGTTGAATTAACAGCACTGTTGTCCTGTATAAAAGGTAAGCCATGCCCAAGAGTTTTGCTATCCAGCTGAGGCTCAAAGCAAAACATATGTAACTTTTAGCCATCTAACTCCTAAGAGCACAAGGCAGGAAATACAAGACTTTGGTCTAGGCCAAGTACTTTAGGCACTTGTAAGATTAGAATGAGAGGGAGAGTCACATTTTGGTGGAGGAATCAAGGTAACTTTACATATGAGGGGTCTCAAAGCTCGGCACTGAAGGTGGGATGAGATTGTTTTGGGTAGGGAGGCTTGGAGTCGGCACTCAGAATAAATGGGTCTGTGTTGGAAGTGTAGGGCGTTTTTTAAAAGAATGAGTAAAAATAAAACATAAGGCATATTTTGTTACTCTGCTCAGAATCTCTGAGTGGCTCCCACCTCACTCAGAGTCAAAGCCAAGATCCTGAGTGGTCTAATCACTGTTACCTTCCTGATACCATCTGCTACTATTCCCTGTGGTATATTAATGCTGCAGTATTCAGTTGGGCACAGAAAGTGGGAATCTTAAGTGTCTGTATGAAGAATTCACACATTATCCTGGAGGCAATGGGGAACCACTGAACAACTGGGAGGGAGCTTTCTTATTCTCCTATCCTCTTTGAGTTCTTTGTTCTCCTTCCTCTTATGGAATAGAGCTGACTTCCTGTTGTAACAAGGAGGACCAGGGTTAAGGCTTTGTGGAAGACCTTCTTAAGCTACTGGTTTGGCCTACTCATCTCCTAGCTGATCCATTTCAGAGGAAAATATATGGAATCTGCAGGCTTTGATGGCTTGTGGTTACATCCAAGCCAAGTTTGCTTTGCCACATCATTAGGTTTTTGGTGGCAATGGCATCATTTCTGGGGGGAAGTTGTGAATATGTATTAGAAAGAATGTTTATAACCACAATCCCAGTACATATTGGGGACTATCTATTGCACATGAATTTGGAGGATGAAAGCCAACTTTATTAGTTACATCTGAAAGTTGAAAATCTCTTACCAAATTAATTTATCCTCGAATAGCTAAGTATCCTGACAGAAGTTTTAATAAGATTTAAAGCTACATGGTTATGATAATTATACCCTTTTATATTCTAACAGGGAAATGGACTATTTTCAAGAAAAAAGGAGATTTGGTAATTTCAGGAAATTATTTCCAAATAATCCAAATATTTCCTTTTCCAAATTATTTCCTCTTTTTTTTTTAAAGCTGTTTACTGATTCATGGTTACTCCATATCCCCAAATGTCATTTGTGTCCTTCTAGTTCTAAATTTCTTAAATGAAATGACAACATTTAAATTCATACTATCAAGAGAAAATAGAGAAGTAGGTCTTTAGTACTATTTTTAGACTCTGAATGGAATTACAGTTTTAGATATTTTGAGAAATGTTACTCAAAATAGTTAACAGTTGGTTTAGGAAAACAGTTGGTTTTTGGAAGGAAAAAATAAAATATTATATCTACAATATTAAAACAAAATTAATTTCAACATAGAACCACAAGATGCACAGGATACCAGGGCAGAGGGGACATAGAAGTCATAGAGTTCAAACATTTGACATGTGAGGAAAATCAGACCCAGCAAGGTTAGTGACTTGAACTCTGGTCAACCCTCTGGCTTCATTCACTTTCCCAGCAGTCACTTCAGAGTGATTTCAAGCTGTCACCTCACTCACTTGTGCAAGCTTCCCTCCAAAACACCAGTTAAAACAAAAACAAAAACAAAGAAACCCCTCAAAACAAACAAACAAAAAAAACATGACCTATAATATGGAAAGCTAAGGTCAACAGATTGCCAGACCATAGAGGAATATCCATTCATTATAAGGAACTTGGCACTGACTTGAGGAAACAATCTAGGGTTTTTCACCAATGATGCCTCATAAAGATATGCCATTATGGCCTCTTAAGGGAAGGTGGGAAAATGTTCCATGTTGTCCAAACTTTCTGTCTTCTGGCTCAGAGATTTAGAGTTTCTACCTATATGGAAATGGGCAGCCAGCTTTTTCGTGAGATAAATGCTCTCAGGGCAAGATATAGTGATTCTAACGTATTCTGTGGGATCAAAGAAGACTTTCTAGTAGGTAATGATCTTCATATTCAATAATATATATATATATATATATATATTTTGTTTTAGAAATTAAGTATTTAAACTTCTCTGCCAAAGTGAGAGGCCAATCTTTTAATCACACAGAGCCATTTCTTTGTGAGCACAAACTCAGACCTGAAACACAAGCTCAGCAGTCTATGTGTCCCTGAGAGGGAACTGCTTAGAATTCAAGGTCTGGTTTGGGGAAGAATTGCCTTCTTTTACAGCACTGTCTTGCTCTTCCTCTGCACCTGTGAGTCTTCCTGCCTCTGCATGGGTGTATTTTCACCCCACCCCATTCCTTTGAGCACCAGTGAGGTTTCTTCAGGAGCAGTCAACACCTTCCAAAGGTCATTGCCCTCTAATCTCGGGTAAGCCTCCCACAGCATTTTCGCTATACCAGAAAATGAAACTGGACTAGATATTGCAAAAACAGGAGCATTGCAAGAGGACATATCTTTATCCATCTGTATATGTAACTTGTCATTTGGTCTACTCACTATCTTTATTTTTTTTTCCCTGACACAAATGGCTAGATGTGAGAGTGAAACTTGGGCCATAAGGACACAATTGTTTTTTTTTTTTGGGGGGGGGTGGGGTGTAGGAGGGTTGAACAAAATCTAAAAATGCAGCCACAAAAATATCTTTGTTTCAACTGCAATATGACAGTCTTTCTTTTTCCACCTTTAATCTCCTAGGATACTTTATAATTTTCCAAGTGTTAAATGTATTTCTATCCAATTTTTCTGGATGAGTCATTAGAAAGTCAGAAAGTTTAAGTGGACAAATTGGGAATTCCACCTAGTTCTAAAAAAAAAAAAAACAGTGCTCTTTTCAATACCATACTACAGGGTTAGGTGTTTATAAGGAAGTGAAGAAAACATATCCACAGCCAATTGTGAAAAATATTGCCAAATTTGGAAGTCTATTCCTTCTTATTTGATTTAACTACTTGCTTATTCAGTAGGAAATAGAACCATGGATTTGTAAGAGAGAAAAAATCATTATCAAGCACCAGTTATTAATTTTTGCCTACATTGACACTTATACTTCTGTTCTCAACTAATTAATTTTGTGTCATTATCAGAAAGGGAGACAGAACATGAAGACTCCTAACCCTGGGAAATGAACTAGGGGTGGTGGAAGGGGAGGAGGGCGGGGGGTGGGGGGTGAATGGGTGACGGGCACTGAGGGGGGGCACTTGACGGGATGAGCACTGGGTGTTATTCTGTATGTTGGCAAATTGAACACCAATAAAAAATAAATTTATTATTAAAAAAATAGTTCTAAAACATTTCCTGAGAAGACTGGTGTTGATATTCCCTACAGTTAGGGGAGTTTAAAGATAAGAGTCAATAACCATACAAAGTTGATAGGGTGATTAAATGGGAAGCTATATCTCTCTGTCCTCTTTTTATTGGGTTAATAAGTAAGAAGCAGTTATACTGTCCACAGGACAAATCACCTTGCTAGGCACCAGGAACTGAATGAAAGCAATGCCCCAATGTGGAGAGAGGGGGAGTCCACACTGCAAAAACACAAGCTACTGGTCCTGGCAATTCCTTCCATTTCCCTTCTTCAATCACTCAAGATAGGTGAACACATAGGAAAATAAGGATTCTTAAGTAAAAAAAGAAATGAGCATAAAACCAAGTCTCAGTGCTATTTAAGGAAAACTAGCGTTAAGAGGCACCAAATTTAACAAGCAGAAGAACTAACATCTAATGAAAAGACTTAATAGAGCAAACAGAAAAAGAATTTAAAATATATTCATCTTTTGGTACACACAACAGAACAATGCATCCCTTAAGAAGATAAACAGTTCAAAAGTATAAGGAATACAGCTGAAAGGCAGATTAATAAGCAAGACTAGTAAATTGACTGTTTCCCAGGCCATAATGAGAAAAGATAGAGAAAAAAATATGAAGGAAGTTAAGAGATATGTAAAACAGATTCAGAAGATCCAATATCTCTCTAATAGGAGTTACAAGATTGAAAGAAAGGAGAATAAGAAGAAGTGCAAGAGGAGGTAAATAAGGTAAAAAAAGATGGAGGAGGAAAGGCAGGGGGAAATTCCAGAAAGGAAGAAAGATTTGAATCTAAGGTATAAATGATCTCGCGGGTACTGGTTAAATTTCATGTCTCCAGGGATAAAGAGAAAAACTCAAATGTTTTCAGGGAAGGAAGAAAGGCAGTTTACATACAAGGGAATAAGAAATTCATTGCTTTTAGACTTTTGTAGGTGACAGTTTAAAAAGATTATGAAGGAAAATTATTATTTTTTTAATTAATTTATTTATGATAGTCACACACACAGAGAGAGAGAGAGAGGCAGAGACACAGGCAGAGGGAGAAGCAGGCTCCATGCACCGGGAGCCCCACGTGGGACTCGATCCCGGGTCTCCAGGATCGCGCCCTGGGCCAAAGGCAGGCGCCAAACCGCTGTGCCACCCAGGGATCCCAGGAAAATTATTTTGAACTTAGAATCCTGTACTTTGCCAAACCAACAATCAAATGAGAAAGCCATATAAGAACATTCTTATATATGTAAGGAGTCACAAGCTTAAATCCCACAGACCTTTTCTGTAATAATTGAGCAAGTACCTTAACAAAACAAACAATGAAATAACTAAGGAGGAAGATGAGATGCCAGGAAAAGTAGTGAGTAAAGAAACTAATGGACTATGGTTAGCCCAAGTAGTTTTGTGTACAAGGTATAAAGAAACAGAACCTAAAAATTAATAAATAAATTATACCCTGGAAAATGTTTATGCAAAAGAAAGAAATGTTATTAAATTCTCCTGGAAGACTCTCATTACTGAGAAACTGTATCTAATTCTATACATATATGTTAACATTAAAAGAGAACCATTAAAAAGAAAGCCGGGAGAAATACTACGTACAATTTCCTAACAGTGACAA